GGGGGGCAACACAACCACTTTCCCATCAGCCACTATTTTATCGCCAGCAGCTACAAGACAAAGAGGTTCTGGTGTGTACCTGGCTGCAAGCAGCATCCTGCGTGATGGAAAGAGTTTATGATCGAGGTTTCGCTAAAGCCCAACAGGCCACCTTGACCTGTCCCTGGACAGAGGACCTTGGTGGACACTTTCAAATGCACCCCCACCCCCTCAGCCCCCACAGGGACATGGTTACCCCAACCGCCTCTGAATTATTATCATAATTTCCCAGAGAGGCACTGCAAAGCCTCTGGAGTAGAGAGGCACCCATGTTTTACAGAATGTTGTGTGTTTTATTGCCTTTAAGTCACTCATAGGCCAGAAGAGAGCGCCCACAATGATAAGAAAACCAGTCATGTGAAAAATGAAGGACCTTGCCTACAAGACAGAGAGGTGAAGAAGGGAAATAATAAAATTCATGACAAATGTAGAGACTGGTTGTATTTCATGTTCAAACCCCCTCACCTTCCAACACAGCGCCACACTAAGAACATACGAAGGAAAAAGGGGAAAGTACGTTAATACTTATGGATTCACATCTCACTGTTAGTATTTGCTATTCTACCATGTATGCAGCCAGGTGTATTGAAAAATGTGGGTTATCCAGGAAAGTAAGCACCTTTTGTGGATCAACAAGTCCTGTCATGTCTCTGAACTTTGTGATGCTTCAACTGCTCTCCAAGTTTCTGCAGTGCACATGTATTGAGATATGTATTGAGATCAAAGGTGTGGAATTCATTGTGCTTTCCTGCATCAGATTGGTGTAAATAACTTATACTGCTGTGTCACTATCTCGTAGTATTTGTTTTTTGTTTCCAATTTAAGGATTAACGTATGGTGGGAAGATAAGCTATAATATCCAAAAAATAAGATAATGCGGTCAGTTTCATTTTCAATTTTATGCCTCTAACAGGCTAAAATGAGAATCTTCATCAGTGCAGACAGAGCACGTGATTACATGTAACAAGTAATATTGCAATGTTACAGCATGCATATTTAAGTATCAGTTGCCCACATTTTGGAACGGTGGAGTACATGTGAGGTATAAAAACCATGAGGGAGCTGCGATGCTCATCAGGCCACAAAACGGTAACCTACATTACCAAAATCTATTCATAAAACATCTGTGGCAAATTATATATACTACAGTGTTAAACATGTATGAAGGTAAAACTGAAGCATATTTACTTTCTGAAATCACCAAAATTATTTGCCTGGATTCTTCCATTTTGCATCTATGGTCTTATTTTGCTATATCTTATTATTCTGATGTTCTTTTGATATTCAACTTGTTTTGTGAAGTCAGAACAGGTAAGGACTGTCCAACCGTTTAAATTTCTATCTCTGAGTGAGCTTTAACAACTAATGCAGATAATAACTTGAATTAATTTAATGTGTTTTAGAACACTTTTAGTAAATGTAGAGGTTCTTTCAGTGGCACTGGAAAGTGAGCAAATTTGTTCGGTCAAAAATAATTTAGTCCTACTTATAATCTGCCTTTGCAATAATTAACCCTCTTATTTTATTTCTCATCTGTAATTTTGGTATCTTTTTTATATTAGTTTCTATGTTCAGGTAATATATTGCTCATGAACTGTCTTCCAAAGTAAATAATCATGGCTTTGGCATTGGCTCAAATACCTGCGACTGTCTTTTTTCCATAGTTGAGAAATAATGTAACAAAGATGCAACGTTTTTCCCCCATACTATGGCTTTTACTCTTTAGGTTTTTTGACAAAATGTCAGCCGTAAACCGCCCAAGGGCTTTCTAAGCTGCCATCGTTTTAGCCATTTCATGTCAAAGCCCACCTGGGGTAATCTGTAAAAAAAAAAAAAATGGAATTGGAGCGGTAGAATATTAACTAAGGAAGAGAAGAGGGAAAATAACTCAGATTACTCTTCATTGAGCCAAACTTTAGGCTTTCAGGGGAGAAAAAACACTTTTATTGTCTTTTTTGTGGAGTTAATTCCCCCTTCTCTGCCACAACCCCCCCTGTGGGGTGTTAAAGGTGCAGTATAACTAATGAGAAATAAAACATCTGTTTAATCTGAGCGTTTCAAAGGCAAATCCCCTTTTGATCAAAAAATAATATTGATCTGACTCCCTCAGTTGTGTGTCGAGGACTTCTCCTTTAAACTTGAACTTTTCGCTGCAAATCAATGCTGCAGCAGCTTTTTGAGGTTTGTTTCAAAGAGGTTCTTTTTAAATATGGCTGCATTTGCATGGATTAGGTCCATCATTAGAATTCAAATTGACCTTGCAAATGTTTGTGTTTTAACCTAATGAGTGTAATATGATTTTGTTCTGGCCTCATTGTCTGCTTTTTTTTTTTGTGTGGTCTTTTTCAGCCATGATTCATCTTCTTATGGGCTAGTTCGTGGCCAGGTCATTGACAGCGACCGCGTGGCAAACGCGTGGCCCCTGCTGAAATGAACAGGGCCAAATATTCCCTGAGCTTTAGCATGTCTGTCCTCACCCCTCACTCTGCATCTGAGAGGGCCCCAGCTATCTTGACATCTCCCCATTTTCTTTAATTACACCTCAGCATATTGCGTTTGGGCCATATGGAAGGGAGATATTGAGAAAAGATAAGATTTATAAACCTCCGTCAACACCACAACATATTAAATAGAGTTGGAGGCATATTATCTGTACTCTACGCTTCCAATTAGTGCAAAATATCCAAATACTTTAGGAAATGCCTGTCAAAGGAGCAGGAAAAAAATTACACAAATGAATTCTTCACTATACTTTTATTAACATTCCATGACTTGCCTGAGTTAACTTTCTTTTCCACCACCCAATATGATTTTGTACGGATCTAAAAGTTTTAGAGTTGAATTTCATAAACAAATACAGAAATGGCATAAAGAAACAGTCCCTTGCAACCATTTGTCAAGTCTTGCTACATATTCCTAGTAGGTCTGAACTTTGACTAGGCCATTCTAACTTGTGTGGTCAGAACAAAATTGGAATAAAATGGAAAATGTTGAGTAACTTATGTTTTTTTATTTCCAAATGATGGACTGAACAGGGCTGTAGACATTCAATAACCAAAATCTATTTTAGCCTTCTGCACAACTTTCTCTTTTTATTCACTGGTGTCCCCTAACAAACCTCTGAAGCCTTCATAGAATAAATGGATTTGTACTGAGATTAGATTACACACTGGATCTGATTCAATATTAAAATACAAAACCTAAAAAGATGTGAAAAAGCTCAAGGGATGTGAAAACATTTGCAAGACACTATATGATTAATTTCATTTGAAAAAATACAAAAATACAAATTCTTCACAAGTAATTTTTGGTCTAGTTTCTGGAACAAAAATTCTAATGCATTTAAAAAAAAAATAAAACTAACGCCCAAGCAATTTTGTAAGAAATAGGAGCTTGTTTTAAATCTATAATTCTTAATATTAATATAAAATATACTAATTCCACTGATAATATGGGAAAATGTCTTGTTATAAGTGAAATAATCTGCCAGTGGCACCAGCAGTTATTTTTTTCAAAATTAAGGACTTTACTTGAAACAAGCTGCTTTATCTTGCTGAAAAGTTACATATGTTAGTTTTGTCTTATTTCAAGAATATATTTGCACTAGAAATTTAACCAAAAATACTCGGGTTTTTACAGTGTAAACCCGACTAAGGCTCATTTAGTATCTCTTGATACATGCAGAACTGAATGAAATCTGACACTGCTTGTGTCAGAGTCACCACACCTCCATTTTAAAAAGGCACCTTCCACCACAAAGCTTCCTCAGAACACAACGGTCCTCCTCACTAGAAATGCTTATGTTGTTGCTGATGTGATTGAATCCACTGCATGCCGACAGTGAGAGGTCATTTTCTGCCTCGCTGCAGCATCAGGATGTACTGTAGACACTGAGAGACATGCGGAGAATAAAGGAAGAGAGGATAGCAGCAGGACGAGGCAGCAGAGAGGTCACTTTGAGAAATCTGGATGCAGGCACATGGCAAACAGCGTCTCTGGATCTCTTTCTCGCTCTAATCCTCTCTCTGATCCACCGACGCCTGGCCGAGTCATTTGAAGAGGGCCGCAACCCGTGATCGCCGGGCCCTAATCTGAGTCCTCGGCCCGTCCGCAGTCCATCTCAGACGGCACCGGCTGGCTGCCAGCAGAGGAGTGGTAGGCTTAGTCTTCTCCAGAGAGACAGCTAGAGGTTGTCTCTACATGGATGGGCACTTCGCAGCTCAGCGGGGGCAGGAGGAAGGGGCAACATAGCAGCTGCTCTGGGCATATGGGCAGAATTCATTAAGTCTGGCAAAACAAGCCAATTGTGGAGGAGGTTTATACAAAAAAAAAAAAAGAAAGATGCATTTGTCTGACAGAGGAGCATAGAAGAACTGAGTCCAGATATCGGGACCCACGGAAACATTCTGAGCACAAATGTCCCACGTGATAGTTTCATCCTAAGGCACCACAGTTGATGAAGTTGATTCAAGGCCCACCAGATGAAAAAAATCTGGATCTGTTTGTGATGGGCAGAAATTGAGCTGTTAGATGCGTACACTGTGTGTCCTTGAGGAATTTCCTAAGCCTTGCCGAATGTCAAGAGACGGATCTCTGCCTCAGAAATAAACCTAATCACAATCTGTAAATGTTACAGCTGTTTCCCTAATAGACCTGGCTGCACTTTGGAGGCCTGCATCTATATTCACACACATGAACCAAAGGCAAAACTGAATGCTGATATAGCACAGCTTGTTGGGATATACATCATTCCACATATTCTGTTGTGTTTGTTTTATAAAATCGCTTTAACTTCTTGAGATTCTTTCTTCTGTTTTTACTTCGTTTCTAAAGAACTTGCTCATCCCTGGGTTTAACTGGTCTAAGTGAACGATGAGGTGAAAAACTGGTTGTAATTGATTGTATTTGTTTTATTTTTCTAAATACAAAAATGAAAAAAAGCAAGAAGTTGAATAAAAAAATAAGGTTTCTTATTTTTATTAGCAACCAGAAACTTACAATGAAAAGCAACAAAACATGTTTTTTTATTTTTAGTCCACACATCATGAAAAAAGACTAATTTTCTCATCACTTTATAAAGTCGCAGCCATCTTGATTCAGATTTCCATCCATGCCTTTTAATTCAGTAAAAGTATAATGTATGCTAATCCACCAGGTGTCAATAGGAACTCTGCTCAATGCATTTGAGATAATAGTGAAGAAGGGGTTGCTCCTATCGAAGAGCTGCAAGATAAAGTCAATGGCAGAGTCAATAACAATAAGGTTGTAGGCTTTAATGAAGAATGTTAATTTGAACACAATCAACTGGATTTCAGCTTAACTGATTATCAACCTTGGACTTGTATGTAGATCCTGATAATGCTCAGTACACAGAGGACATTTTTATCTGAAACCACTTCTTTCAAATGATGGCCTTCGGGCCATTCAACTCAAAATAAATATAAAAACAAGAGACTCAACAAATCAAAAAACAGAAATTGGCCACAGAAAGAGAACTTTTGAAAAAGTTCTGCGATATCAAGAAATACTGTACATAAAGTTATAAAAATAAATTCTCACTAAAAAACTCGAGGTAAATTAAGTCACTGTCCCTCGTCTTCCGACTCCTGACTCTCTCCTTGATCCTGTTCCATCCTGAGCTCTGAAGACACCTCTGCAAACAGATGATCCCAGTTCCAGATCACATACTCCTTCCAGGGTAAAGTCGACGAGAATAGAGGGGGGAAGAAGATTCAGAGAGCAGGACAAGTCAAGAAATAGAGTGGAGGGAGCGGGAGGAGCAAAGTATGGCGAAAGGGAAAGGAGAGCGCAGCATATTAATGTACACATCATAAATCTTGATTACCTGGGAAACAAGAGTGGCAACCTCCCCAGGCGCTCTACTAACAGCTGGACAGGCCTTCAGTGGGAGCTCATGGGCTATATTTACTAAAATCTCACTCACCTCTTTGAACTCTTGCTCTGGTGCTAAAACCTTGGAGAGCAGCTTCAAGTCGATCTCTCCATCCTGAAAAGAAATTGCAGTAAAATCCCCTTAGCTTGCACAAACTGGGGTGATACAACAATGAGAAGACCACCTTGAAGAGAAGGGTAAATGGGATAAAGATACATAAAAATAAACGTCCTTGACTTACTAAGGTTTGGAACGTAGAGAAATGTTTCAGATCATTGTCCAAATCACGGTAGGTCATCACTCGATTCACCTGGATCCTGAGAAAGCCACAGAGAAAAATATGTTTTTTGAAATGTGTATTTTGCACGTTTTTATACTTTCAATTGGATCTCTTCTGGTTCTAAAAACATTCCAAGTGGTTAAAAAAAAACACCCAGCCATTTTTTGGGCAAAATTCAATGTTTTTTGGTGTCTGGAAAATGAGCTGTTTCAAAAACCTCCCCATTGTTAATGACACCATTTCATAGCAACTCCAGCAGAGCTGAAGTACATTTAGTCAGCTGGTTTTACAACTGTATATGCTGTACAATGGCTGCTGAAAAAGTATTTGTTGCTGACTTATCATTAAAAAACACCTTGCTGCATTCTTGCTGGCTTTGCATAAGGCCCTATTAGTGCTTTTCAAAGTGGCACAGTTGTATAAATGTATACATTTTCACATACAAGTGTAAACACTGTCTAGGGGAGCCTGGCCAGCAGCAGGTTATATAGATTTAAAAGGACTGGAGGCCGAAAATCAGCTCATTCTAAAAGAAGTTCAAGACAGGCAAAACTGACCAGTTAAAAATCGCATCATCAAAGAATGATTTTTGCACAAAAAAAGAGTAAGGAATATGTTTTGTATAGTCCTTAGATGTACCCTAACTTGTTCAAGGAAGCATAATAGGTCACCTTTAAGGTTTTTATGTCACACTCAGAAGTCTGAGAAGTGTCTTTAGATAAGTTTAAAGTTTGTGGACAATCAGGCTCTACATCTTCAAGCAGTGACCACAGAGAGCAGGAGACACTTGCCAAGTGTTAAACGCCTCAAATTGAAACCCAGCTGCTTATCTGCGGGTTGGAATTAAGTAGGGGGGCTCTCAAAGTGGCCGGGGCCTAGCAGTGCATGCCAGTCCTACTTACTGCACATTACACGCTACATTGCCCCTGCAATGAGTTCAATGTGGATATTATCTTGCACAGAGTGCAAGCCCCAGCCTAATAACCTCCACCACTGTCACAGCCCTGCTACATAGTCGACACATGTCGATGTGTCTCTCTCTACCCTTTAAATCAGAGTCTGGGTGGTGAGAACAGAGATGCATAAATCTCATCAAACTATTATTCCCTTATTTCAGGAACGTAAAAGTCGGCCCGCCACAATAAGGTGAACAGAAAACAGGTAACTTCAAAGAGACCAGATCCAGTGTCCTATTTATAGTCAGAGATTGATTCGTTTTTCCAGAGGAAACAGGTTAGAAAAAAAAATATGTGATCGTTCAGTCTCACTGTTTTTGGAAAATTATTTGATTTTCTCAACAATTTTTTTATCATAACAGATTCAGCAGTGTGTAAAGGGTCACTTTTTTGGCTTGTTTTTTTATACACCTAGACAAACTTAGATCAAGTTCAAATATCTGTGTTGATTAGTACAGATACATTCAAACCTCATAATGAACAATGACACTTTCACTGCACCAAAAATCAAGAACCTGGAGTCTCAGGGTTTAAAAAGGAAGCTGGCACATTTTTTATTTGTATTTCTGAATGTGTGTGTTCATATTTAACTCAATGGGACAAAAACTAAAACTGTAATCAAGAAAATCAAACATAAAGTTTATCCTCCATATATAAACCAATGGAAAAAAGACTTATTTCTCAAAAATTCTGAACTTTGTCTTTTATATAATAGTATACGATTGATTTTAATGTGTTCAAACATACAGACTGTTTCGGGCTGAAAACACCATTACAAAACTATGTTACAAATCATCTTAATATACAGAGAATGTGTAAAATATATTTAGTAACATCTGGTGGCCAGGTTTGGATAGAGCTAAATACCATGTAGTTCCAACATATTTACCCTGTTCTGAAAAATACTACTTGTATTAAAAATGTATCTTTCATCAAAACTTGGTTTAAAAACTATGCATCTGACGTTAAAGATTAAAATAATTTTTGTACCTTGGTGGAGAAGCAACTTGCATTGTCAGATCTTCTTCCTGCACCTCCTCTAGGTCTGGTATCACTGGAATATCTGGAAACACAAAACAGAAAGCACAAACAGAGAGGTGCTAAACTTTCAAAAAGTCTGTGATTAACCAGCAAAAATAAAAGTAGTTATCTAAAGACAGCATTTCCCCTGTGTATGCCTGTCAGAGGTGTGTGTTTGTGAGATTTCTCTCGTCTTTTTGCCGCCTGCACCCTCGTAAGAGCCGCCCTGTCATCGCCATGCGGCCATGAATATTCAAAAGGCGAGACGGCAGCTCATCCCGCTGTGATTAGGGCCGCTGGGCAGGGGCTCCCCTTAGCATTTGGGCCCTGTCAGCGCCACCCGCCCCCAGGACCTGTGGTGGCCGGCGGGCCGACCTCCATGTCCACTCTGCCACTCCGACTGGGGCCGCGTCCAGCCATTTGCAGAAGTATCTGCTTGTGGGCCCATCTGTGTGGGGTCGGAAGTCACAGCGAGGCCTGGCAGGGGCCGCAGTGCCAGGAGCCGCCAGCCCGCTGGTCGAACAGTGGGAACCCGCTTTAATTGGCTGAACGCAACAGGACAGAGGATGGCTTCACTCCCAAGAAGGACAGGGCAAACTTCCCCAGCTTTGCTCCGACTGACAAGTGAAGGTACCAAAATAATCACAGATAAAGAATGGAGAGAGAATGGGAAGATATATCGGAATTTGATTGTGATAAATATAGAGAAAAAATGTCAGTACTGAACTTTAAGCATGAAGCCCCTTAAAGTGACTCTTTGTTGAAGCATCTTTTGATCGATTCAGGATTCCGTTTTTTTCGTACCTTGCAGAAGTTCACCTAAATAATGGACTGTGTCAACATCTCTTGCCCGCTGTTCTCTTTACAGATTTTCTGTCAGATTCACTTCCGAACATTGGAAACTCGAATTTCCTTCAACGAATTTCCTTCAACCAAAGCCGTCCTATTGTTGCCTTTGATGCTTGAACTTAGAATGACATGTAAAATAAAATCCATCTTCATATTAATCTAGCAGATGCCTGAAGGCTTTGGTTTGGTTGGATCGGTGATCGCCCAGAAAACTGCAATTAGTGAATCCTTAGTCATAATGTTTTGATTGGGAGTTTCACTGTGGCAAAAAAATATGTTTCATTGGGCAGGTGCCTCAGATAATTAGTCTGAAGAAGCCTGTGGACAAGACCAAAAATGCAAACATGTCCCCTCATCTAAATCACATTTTCCACATGAACCCAAATTTTCAAAACCCAGTGAAACTATTTACCAGATATACAGTGGTGTATTTACAGGGACTTGGAAAAAATAGACATCTGGATGCAAGAAAGAGAAGAACTGAGTGCCAGAAAAGAGAAACAGAGCTGGAGTGCATGAAGAGGCTTGTCAGTAATCTCTAACCACAGTGCTGTATCCTGAGGGGAAAGTCGATATGGGAGCTAAATAGAGGTGAGGAGATGGAAGTCTGAATCTGATGTGAGGAAATATCTTGGCATCTATGTCACCATTTCTTCAAAATAACCCCTGAAAACAAACTTGGCTACAGAAAAAAAAAAAAAATCATTGATCTTTGGTGGAGCAAAAGGAAAATGTTTCATTCCCAGCTGAATGAGGAATTCTGGCAACACATAATTCAAAACAACCAATCAAGTTTCACTGGAAATCAAGTCCCCCTCCTGCAGCTGATAACTTACTTCCTCTCCTTTTTTTTTAATTAAACCAAATTAAAAATGCCACACTCGTTTAGCCGCTGACAAGATTCATCTGTGTTTCTGATATCCAAATAAATGCAGGCACGGCTATTTCATATTCATGAGGCCCGGTGACACTTTGTCCTCTCATTTACAAAGCACAGCGTTCAGCAGAATCCGTCCCCCCTGGACTCCCAATCAAATTTAATGGTCTTAGTGCAATGACATCAAAAAGCTTCGCCGTCCGGCTCTGCAAACAGCTTCGTGGGTGCATATCTGTGCACACACTCCCTTTCAAATTTCCACTGGTAATGCACCATTAACACACACCATGAAGAGTTCAGTGTTAATAATAGAGGCATATGCTGTCTATATGCAAAGTCTGTTATTGAGAGGGAAAAAAGGAAAAACAACTGTTTTAAATTGGTTTTAAATTCATCGTATGACTGGAGGTCAAGCAGTCGATGTTTTCTACCTACTCCATCAGGACGATAACTACACCTTACTGCGCTCAGCTGGACGTGCGTCAGGGTGGCTTTTGTCTACCTTATTAATCAGCTACATGCTGTCTCCTCACTGAAGCATGTAAATATCAAAAAGCGGATAATAGGTGTAGCTGTAGCTCATGCATGCCAGTGAGCGGCTTTAGACGGGAGGACGTCTCCCCACATCACACGGGCTCCAGTAGCCGACTCAGGGGTCCCGTCACATGATCACCTAGGCACAACTCCTTTTGAAAGCACCTTAGAGCAAATATTCAACACATCAGAGAGTGAGAGCGAGAGACAAAACAGAAGAGTGTGTTTGCGATACTGGAGCTATTTTAAGTGACCAGCTGGAAGCGGCGGGGGCAGCTGGGAGCAGTTGGCTGGCCAAGCCTTCTCTCTGTGAGTCTCTCTCTGCGCTTGTAGCCAGTGGACATAAGGGATAAAGGTGTGGGACATAATCAAGATTGCAGGGGCTATCTCAGTAACCCTCAGCACTGTAATTTCCAAGGCCCCTGCCTCCAGCTTTGTATTAAGAGGTCTCCCTCCACACAGTAATAATCTTTCCAGAGGCTTTAACAAACCATTATTTTCAACATCCAACTGGCCATTTGTACCTGTATTGACAATATTGGAAGTAAAGCATTAGAAATCACTTAGACTCTAATGGCTACTTTTTAATGAGCACCAGAAAATAAAATCCTGTGTAACAAAACAGAACAGCAGCAAGCTACAATAGTTTTAGGCATTAGTAATATTCACAAATTTATGAAACTTCCAAATCCAAAACATGGATAGTTCTCATTTCTCACCTTTCATTAGGGTGCACTGGTTTAAGTTTTCATGTTTATATAATAGTTTTATACTTATGCTATATTTTTAGTATTGTTTATATGTTGTGTTGTTTTTCATTTTTTGTAACTGTGGATTTAAAGTCTAATGATACTTCAGCTATTTTATTAGTATTTTAGTCAGGTAATGTATTAGTGTTCATTATCTTATTTGTCTTCTCATTTGTTTCAAGGTTATTTGCTAATATTTTATTAAAGCAGTTCGCTTTTTGTATTCTGTTACTGTTTATAGCTTATGTGATTGTAATTCCACCATTTATAGTGTTATATTAACTTCTGTTGTTTCTTTTTGATATTTTGAAGTGTGTCTGTTTGTCTGTTTTTAACATGTATATTATACTGTGTTATACATATTTAGAAGAAAAATGTTTTAAGAACATCTAAAGAGTTGACAAATATAGATTGGTTGATTTTTATTGTCATAAATAAAACTGTAACAATTTTTTAACATAATTCAATACAGTTAAAAATCCCCTAGGTATCTCTGCACTATATTTTATATACACACGCAATAAATTAATTATTTTAATATCTAAAAATTTACAGAAAATTTTAATTTGTGAAAATTAAGACTAAAAATATTTGGATTACACACACATACTTCTTTATTAGTTTATGAAGTGAGCACTGCATACTAACCTGTTTTTACTGAGGCTATTTGACCTTACATGTAAAGCTGCTTTGCACAGCAAAAACAGAATGATCTTCTGCAGCCTTTCTTCAAAATTTTGCCCTCTCAGTCTTAACTTGTTTGTAGAGAGCACAAAGGTCACAGACAAAAAGTGATACCAAAACATTTGTATTCAGCTGCATGGGTCTGGTACTCTGTGTGGATGTGTGTTTGTGTTCAACTGTGGTTGCATCGTCTCAGTCCAACTTTTGAGCCGCTTGATTGGTGCAGTTCTGGTGAAAATTCACATAACTTTCTTGACTATATAGAAATTCTTTTCATTAAGAAAAATAATAACATATTGTTATTAAATTTTGTAACATAGTGTTCCTCAGATTTTAGTTGTATTCAAAACTCCTGCTTCAATAAAACAAACTGTAGCACAAATTCTTTCAATTTGGAAACCAGAATTAGTCAAAAACTAAACGAGCAGATGAATTTTCTGGGACATCGAAAATAAGCTCCAGTCAGGAAAAGTCCCCACCCTACCAAAGGAAGTTCAATTAACAGAACCTAATTTAAGATGCAAATATTTTTCTTTTTATGTATACAACAATTAACAGGGGTGCTAAGCAGTCACAAACTTCATTTATACTTCAGGCTGGCTCTGATTGCTACTGCTGCAATAATATTATAATTTAAACAGCTCAACAAGACTTCTAATAACATTGGTTTAAAAGAGCGTTTAATATCTGTCAAAGGTCAAAGCTGTTAATTACTCTGACCAGCGTGAACTGAAAACTTGTTATATTTGTTCACTCACTTGGTGGTCAAAAACAGACTTTTACTATTTGAGTTCCAGCAGCAACCAGGAAGAAATATGGCAGGACTGTCAGAGAAAAGTGATGATCTGACTTGCTGCTTATCTGCTCTACTTTTAGAGGACAAATGTGCAGGAGACAGTGGAGCGCTCCTCTTTGCCAGTGAGGAGACACAAAGAATGCGGACGGCAAGGGTGCTCTTACCTCCTCCATCATCTGATCCCTGGGGGGTTTGTGGTCGCAGGCGATGGCTGTGGAATCAGGAAGTAAGATGAGAATTAACTATTGAATATGTTCTAATCCAAGCCTGATGGTGAGAACATCACAAGGGAAGAGCAAGTTGGTTCTTAGTTTTCCTAATGCGCCTGTTTTTTGCTCTTTCTCCACCTTAGGTGGAGCACATCAGTTCTTGATTTCTGTACTTGAAGAAAGTAAAAAACCCATCTGGAAGCAATGTCCAAGTAAGCACTGATGGGACAAATGTGACAAAACCACATCATAAGAGATATTCTTCAGGGAAACACTATCAGTTTCACATGAAGTTTTATTTCGCTGCCGCCAACAAGGCACCAAGCACCAGCTGGGATGATGAGTAAAAGATGCATGGCTGTGAACTCCCCTCTATTCTAAGACACAGCATGGTTGTGAAACTAGAACTACAGGAAGACAGCAATAAATGTTACAGCAAATCCGTCATCCTGCTTTTATAATCACTTAGAGTGATTGTTTTTTTGGAGAACGAGTATTACTTGCAACATTCAGAATGTGCACCATGATATGGAAGACACACAAAAGTATTTAACATGAACCTTTTTCACAACAATACACTTTACTAAAACAACCATCAAATTTAATAAGGAACTTCAAGAGTCTGAGTTAACTTACTCCTCCAGGTCCTCAGCAGCTCGTCTTCTTGAAGACCTGTGAATGAACAGAGGGCACGACTTTTATGCACAGAAAACAAGAACTTTAATCTGGGTGTGTTTGAGACATACTTGATAGAAGATGAAAGTATGTCACTGAATTGGAACCTGTTTATATGACTGAGGTGGTTCAGAGTGTAGAACAGCTTCCTCGTGTCAAATGTTGATGTTCCCTGGGTAAAGTTAAAATCTGTGTTTCATTGTCTGACTGTTTCTGTTTTTGTGAGTAATATTAAGCAAATAAGGCTCCGGTGTAAAGAATTTGAATTCAGTCTAACCAGGAAAGTGTTACATAAATTCAACCCTTTATCCTTTGTTCTGTACAGGACTGATTTGATTAAAGATTGCTGGATATGAATTGGACCAATTTGTCTTCAAAAGACCCTTGAAAAGATTTATGAAGTTGTGCATTGATATCACATTGACAAATTGAAATGAATTCAAAATGAATTATCTTTATCTGCAAGTCATATTATGACCAGATGATGTCTTCTCTAAATTTGCTTCCACTATGGCAAGCCATTTTAACATACAGTATATTCGATTTTACTGCCTTTACATTCCAGATATCTCAAATTGTTTTATGACTAGACGTTTTAGCGATCTAAGATATCTTTAATTGTATTCTGACTAGTCGAAATGACATCAGATTTAGCATGGAGTTGTATGGAAACTTCAATTAAATTATTCTTACGAGTCAGAATGTAAATGCAGATATCTTAAATTACCATTCCAGATAGTCAAAATGTAGTTTTGTCTATTCAAAATGCATTCCTACATATCAAGAATGTAACTACAGATAGTCAGAAGAAACCGGACATATGTTGAAACGGCTTGGCATACTTCCACTGCTTTCCAAGTCTTGTGACCTTCTTGATCGTGTAACTTTTCTTTAAACTAAAAAATAATTGAGGGTTTCTGCAAGTTTCAGTTAAGTACATTTAAGACTTATTGAAATTATTTAAGATTCTCATAATTTAAGTTTGGGACTTAAATGATTCACAAAAAAAGAAAAATAATAGCTTACTAATTTCACTAATAACATAGGAAGAATCATTTAATTTAACTAAAGAAAAGTGCAAGAAATCAATTTCAAGAACAGAAATCTTTCAAGTGTTTGCAGAAAAGGTTGACTGTAGTTTGTCACAGCATAAAATCATGCCAGAAATTCTTCACAAAAATTATGACATTTCATAAGGCAATAAAATAAATAAAAATAAAACAATGGAATAGGTGAAGAATATATTGACACACAAATTTAAAACATAGTGTAATTTCATCTTTATTTGCAACATGTCTACTCATCAGACACAACATGTTATAGTTTTGACAATCAGCTCAATTTGAAACAAAACTCCATTTTGTCACTATTTCTAACATACCCATTTTTGTAAGACAACCAGTAATCATTGCAGCCTAATATGAAGCTATGAAATCTTGCTTTTGGAGTTTTTAAGAGGTAAAAAAAAAAACTCTTTTTCATTTTGGTAGTTCTCCTGAACAGAATAATCACACACACAAAAAATCTTAACAATAAATGGAAAGGATCAGAAACCTGATGATCAATTCAGGCTTGTGAATTTATTCACCCCTGCCTTTTCCATTTTTTAGATGAAACGCCAACAACATTAAATGGACAAAAGTCCAACCAGGCAAAGCGGAGATGAGCTGATACCTGGCTGCCCTTGGACTGTGTCCTGTCTGGAGGGGGGGCAGGAGGGTGGCGACACTTAAGACACATTACAGGCTGCTTGATTAAGACTCATGTAAGGCAAAGCGATAGACATGGTAAAACTGTCTGGAAAAAGTTGTTAGGGATAAAATATATTGTGACAACCTGGTTTCAAAGGTTCATCAATAAACTGACAGATCATTTAGTGTCAATTAGAAGTGATAGATCGACAAATCCTGGGATTTCTGTGCTGGGATTAGTGGGAGGAGGGCAGTGGTGATTGAGCATGAGGGGTGACATTGAAAGGAAAAGTCCTTGCCGGTTCCAGGGGGGACCATTACTTACTTTGTTTCAGAAAGGATCAATGCACATGCAAGCCCCTTTTACACCTCCTGTATTTGAATCACTTTGAGACCAAGAATCAAGAGGGGTTACGCAAAAGTGGAGTTGTATACACTGACCTTCGATGTGTGAAAGGAAAGACCTATTGAGCTTGCCTTTTTTCCTACTTGCACTAATGATGCAGTAAACTATGCAAATAAACAAAAGTGACTGCCTCTTCACTTCATCCCACATTCTTTCATCTCCACCGAGACTAAAGTAAAGGAATGCAGCAGCAGGAGAAAGGACAAACTGTTCACTCATGAGCAGCATTAACAGTAGCAGATCAAACCTTCCAGCAAACACCAACCATCTGTTTCAAACATTTTTATGAATTTTCTATGTTGTGCTCTCTGTGTAAAGAGCAGAATACAGTGGTAAGGGGTGATGAAGTGGCTTGAACCCCTGTGATGAAGTGGCTAGCTGACTAACAGTGCCCTCCTGTGGCTGATGCATTAACCATGTCAATTACCGCCTTGCTCACAGATGAAGACGAATGGAGAGTTGGCTGCTTAGACAGGCTCCCTCTAACCTTGTTGATTCACAGCCTGAGAGCCAAATATACACTGATAAATAAGCTCATTCAGCAGCATGAGAGTTCATTAATAACGCATAACACAAGCCTGCGGGCTTCACTTCAGCATTGCCACTAGAGTGGGGGGAAAGGGTGACGATACATACTTGGCAGAACCAGATCCAGAGCTTTCCTCTGCCCAGCCACCCTGCCGCCGCGCCGGTTTAGAAGGGGGGCCCTGCAGAAAGAAAACACCTTAATGGCCAAAAGATTTAATGGATTTCTATTTACTCACATACAGGATAGATAAACCAAATTTGGAAAATAGACTATCATTTTTACCGTATGAGTTTTTTAGTCAACGCAATATGTGTCGGTACTAGTTTAAAGAAGCAACGTTATGTGCTTAAGCTTTGTAAAAAATAAAAAAAAAAACAATTAGAGACAAAGAACCGCCTGTGAGGTTTATAGTTGTACAGTGCTGTGCAAAAAACATGTAAACCTCTTAAACTTTTCCACGCCTTAGAAAATGGTTTTCAAGATCTTGAAAAACAAATTCAGAAAAGTGACATTGAATCTGCTACCAAGTCCCTTCAGAACAGATTCCAAATGTGTGTAATTTTACTGTAGTTTACATCCAGCTGTTCTGTGAAGGTCACAGAGATTTACTAGAGAAAATTAGAAAACAAACAGCCACATAAAAACCACAAAGACTTCACCAGAAAGATTAGGAAAATGTGGAAAAGTTTAAAGCAGGTTTAGGTTAGAAAATGTCAAGGTTTGAAGCACAGAGCAGCCCATCATCTGAAACAGGAAGAGTGTGTTAGAAGTGAAAAACGACTTGCGTTTTAGATATTTAGCTGAGAATGTTTTAGACTTGTAGCTCAAGTTCCACAAAGTTTGACTCGGAAAGCCTGAAACATATGCATGCCACACTTTTCAGATAGAATTTTGCTTGTAAAAAATACCTTTTAGCACTTCACAAATATGCACCATATTGTGTTAGTTTACTATATAAAATCTTAAAACACAGTGAGGTCTGTGGCTTATGAAGTGATAAACATAAAGAAATCTAAATATCCTGGCACAGACCATTTCAACCAAAGTTACTTTCTTATCATCTTCTGAAATGCTTAAAAAAACCTCCTACTCATATTAGAACACATCAGTGTTTGCAGGAAAGATTCACCTCTATAAGTTAAGTAGTTGTCATGCTGAATTGTACATATGAAGCACAGTATGGGAACTACGTCGAGCCCAAAAATGGACTCAGACAAGAGCGAAAAAGCAGCTCTCTTTGTTTGTTTGAGTAATAAACCGCGAACGCATCATGATCATTAAATTTAGACCCTGAGAACAAGTCGTGAATGAATTAATTCCTTTAAAGCATACATGGGTGGGCACCAGCAAATTTAGTTAGAAGAAACAACATTTCTCATTACTATATTGGGTCTGTAGAGGACAAAGTGTTTTTGGCAAATTTGCTTCTTTTATGATAATAGAGGAAATAATAATTTAAAGCTGGTTCTTTTGCAAAGCCATTTATAAATCTGAATGTCACCATTAACCAGGGCAGAGGAAGGGGAATCCACTCTATTCTACTGTATATTACCATTAAACCAGGGAACCGAGGCTAAATGAGCCACCTCAACTTTGTATAATTAGTAACTGTCTCTTTAAAAGGAACCGATATTATTAAAAGGCTTTCTAGCCCTCAGAATGTCTTCCAAGTGATGAGAAATCCCTTTGTTGTTTGTTATTTGATGCGTCTGACAATGAGTCATTTTCACGAGGGACTAAATAATAAGATCACGTTTCCTTGCAAGGAATAAATTCTTCTGGCATTTCACTCAACAAAAATGAAGAGGCTATAAGTGTCCTGTGAAACAAAACAAATTTGTGACTGCAATTCCTCATGACCAAATATGAACCTCACAGTTGCAGTGAAGCACTGAGGCCTGTAAGGACAATTACCTCAGCCTTTGGGGTTTCTAATTTAGGATTCTCTGGAGGTCTCTGGGTCAAGGAGCTTGTGTTGCACAAACCTTCAGAGCACAAAAAAGCATCTGATTCTTTGATGTAAGGGATGCCAGGAATGCAACCAATCAGAGGACAGGGTTGATAAACAGTCCCTGTAAAGAAGAAAAATAGCTACAACCGTACAGAAAAATGTGATGTGTGCATACCAGGTCATGGAGGGCGCGAGAGTATCAGCTCATACATTAGGGAAGTTGGCCTAATTTGGGAGACTAGCCCAAAGCAAGAACATTGCTGTGGTTTTTTTTCACTTCGGGAATGTTGGAGGGGTTTGCAATTTGCCAGAGCAGATGTTGCTCATTCCAAAAATGCCAGTATTAGCAGAAGGGATTTTTAATAATCTTTCAAGAGCCATATTTCATCATTTAAAGACATATCCTTTGTTTTATACAGCCCTCTTTATTTTGACACCTCTGAATAAAACTCAGACTAGACCTTCTGGAGCAGTTAGAGGAAAGTTAGTTACTATAGGAAATAATTAGAACCAGGTAATTTATTCACTCATTATACGGAAGAGGTGTTTTACTAGATGAAACTAATACTAACTTTTTTATCCTATGTCCAAATTACTATGTGTAGCAGAAAATTAACACTAAAGATCACAATGAGGACACCAGAGCCACTGTGTAGCATGGTGAGACTGAGGTTTAGGTTCATCTTCTAGCAGTACAATTACCTTAAAGGTTATGGATTTTGCTAAGAGGAAAGGGTGAAATAGTCAGTAGACGTCCAAAGCTGAGAGTGATATACCTCCAAAGGACATGGAGATGTAAGTGCATGGTTATATAAAGGTACTTACTTTTGGGGACTGGATACAAAGAAAATGTAATGTATGAAACACATTTCAGATTTTTATTTGGAAAAGTTTTTTTTTAACCAAATAACTTCCTTCTGCTTCACATTTTTGTGTTACTGTTGGTCCATAAGACAAAAATATTAATAAAATACAAAAAATTGTGGTTATGATGTGAGAAATGAGAAAAAGTACTGAGCTATACAGAATCAAAGAGTCTATTCACAAAGATAATAGAGGCACTTCTTCTAAATTACAAGGACTACATATGCACAAATTTTAACACTTAAATGTCAAAGATTCAACACACTGAGACATAAAAGGAAATAATTAGGAAAATAGCATTTTCAAAATGTAAAACACATTTTTTTATTTAAAACTTGTTGGAAGAAATAAAATATTAAGCAAACTTTCTCATAAAATGCATAAATATGCACAACATTAAAACTCCTATAGTTTACTGACTGCATGTGTTGTTCTCTAAGAAGCAGCAACTATGTTGCAGGTAGAAGGTAGTAAACAAAGAGGAAGCAAACAAGTGAAGAAAAAAAGTTAACTAGTTGGACCATCTGCAGCAGAAGCAATGCAAAAAACATTACCCACCTCTTTATCATCATCCTGCAATTTATGCATGTGACAAAATCAAAGTAAAAATTATGAACTTGTACTGTAAAGAGAAATATTAACGTTCATGTAGATATCTAAAGGTCACTCACATCTCCTATTGAAGCAGTAGAGGATGATTTCCTTGCCAGCCGAGAATCTTCAAATGACTGATCAGCTGGTAAACGAGCTCTTCGGCCAGATTTGGCAGTCTGGGAAATGTAAGTTATATCTTTTTAAATATAGGATGTTTAATCTCTTTCAAAGCCAGTTGAAAACGTTAAGCATCATATTTAGACAATAGCATAATTCAGCAATAGCTTAATACAGTACAAAACACAGAACTTGCACAGAACCATAAAATGAATGCAAACAATTTTGAAAAGTTGGTGTAAAACCCTGGAAAACACGAGTGATGTTAAAGAAAACATTTGAACATGGCACAAATAATGAAGAGGAAAAAAAGACTTTAAAAATGAAAGTTGCTGATATGTTTGCTATATGAAAGGCAGTCAAACTATGTGTGAGAAGAACAATTTAGAGCAGTTCCATAGAAAATCATCTTTAAAATATCAAAACATTCTAGAGTTTTGAGTCTGGTCTGTCATATCAATTAAGATCTAAAATATACACAAAGTTAGGGAACATGACTAGACTGTGACTAAATGGGCTGATCAAGTGAAAACTCTAGAGAATTCATAGAAGTTTGTCAAAATAGTAAGATCCTAAAACAATGCTAAAAGAATCAATTCCATTATGAACTATGTTCTGGATTAGATCCCTCTTTTGGCAGATTATACCCGAACCTACATATCATTTTTATGCATGGACTGTTGTGTTCCAGTTCCCACTTCCTGTTTAACAATGCGGTTATTTCTCAGAGGTCAGATTTTAATGAAGCAAAAATATGAACCACCTTCAAACCACTGAAAAAAACTTCGGCACATGGAGATACTAGGGAAATACACGGAAAAGCCAAACTATAATGTTAAGAAAAAGCAGCAATGGCTAACCTCAAAGCTAACGGTAGCGAGACGATGTATGACAAACTTGTCTGAAGTTTTTGTTCAAAACAGTTGGAAGCTAAGCTGTCTTTAAACGAAGCTAGCTATCTGTTGTACTAAAAACACAGTAAGGGCTAGCTAAAAGGCTAGCCGGAACCCCTCATTGATGCCGTAAAAATCCTATCTTCAAACTGCGTTAAAAAAAAAAAACTAGAGAAATTTTACTAGTTTTATCTTAAGAGCTGCTTAAGATCCGGACAATACGCTTACATTCTTTGTCACTCCACCATCTTCCAGCTGAAAGTTATCGTCCATTTCTCTCCTCATAGCTACAGCGCTTCTGTTTTCGCTTCTTCCGTAAACATAGGCGTTACGTAGCAACGGTCACCATCGTAACGCTTGCCCTCGTTCAGCCAGAAGTATAAAATTAACACGAATAATTATATTTTTTACTTTGTTTCTTGCGTGAGAATTTATTTAGACAAACACTTCATGACTTCTGCTAATAGTTAAAATAAAAAAGGTATTTTTTTTCTTCCTCGTGTCAAATTAGACATGCAGTTTCTCAGCCTGTCCGCCAGATGTCAGCGTCGCCCACGTTTTTGGCGTATGGATCAAGTAAACGGTAGCACTATGCAGCGTGTTCCCTTTTTCTGCACCAATCTAAAACACACCCTGGATGTTGTCACTGAAGTTATTTTCCAATAAATAACTTCAATATGTAAAGTTAAACGTGATCTGATATTAAACTAGCAGAAGCATACAACAAAATAAAATTCGTTCTTGATCATGTTAAAATATCCTTGAAAACAAAAACACAAACTTCCTTAACAAATCAACGCTTTCGAATTAATTTTCTTTTGTAGTGAAACCACGTTTCCAAAAAAAAATTTTAAAGCCCTATATGTCTTAGGAGACCGAGAGACTCGGAAACAGATCTGAAAATATATTTGTCAATATATTCCGAGAACTCATTGTCCGAACAAGGTTTAGATGTTGTTGCCCCTCCCTCAGAAGCGTCACAGTCTCTGACTATAAAACATGAGTGAGAGAGGAGAGAGGCTGAGTGAGTTTGAGGTTGGACTACGGCGAGATAACAGAGGAGTGAAAGTGGATGAAAAGAGCTGAGTGGAATGGAGAAATTGAACCAAGGCGCAGGGACTGGCTCCATCTGAATCATAACCAAAGGGAGGGGGAAAATACCTGAATGGGACCAGGGGGGATGAGGAGTGTAATTAACAGTTTTGATAAAGAGCTGTGGTTATATTCCAAAATGGCACGGATTTGCGCCCACGCAAAAGCGCACTTTGCTAAGATGACATAGCACTTAAGAAAATGGGATTCCTCCAGGAACATAATTCACTCACGACCTGAATGAAAATAGAAAAAGGGATTCAATTGAAATCGGAGTCTGGCTTGGCTTGATATATTTTTTGTATTCTTTGACTTGACAAGCTGCGGCTCTGGGTGAACTCAGACTGAAATATGAATCTGGGCAAAGCACTTCTGTTTTTCCTCCTGTCAAACTGTGTGACAATGACTTTCTCGCTATCCACTTGCACTACCGTGGACATCGACCACATAAAGAAAAAGAGAGTGGAGGCGGTCCGGGGACAGATTCTCAGCAAACTCCGGATGACGAGTCCGCCTCAGACGACAGGTCCGAGCCAGGTGCCGCTCCAGGTTCTGGCCCTGTATAACAGCACCAGGGAGCTCATAGAGGAGCTGGGAAGGGACCGGCAGCAGAGCTGCGGCCAGGATAACACAGAGTCTCAGTACTACGCCAAAGAGATTTACAAGTTCAACATGATCAATGGTCCGCCAGAAAACAGTGAGTTTTCATTTTCGATCTATCAAGAGTCACCGACTAACTTTGACTTGTAGATTTGATTTTGTTTTCCATTCATCGGGTGGTCAGATTGATCAGACATCATCTAATTTTATCTATAGCTAAGATTAGTCCTGCTCCAACCATGAACTTTAAGGTACTTTATATAAAAGAAAATCAACATACAGTCGTAAAGTGGAAACAAAATTCACCATAGTTTTCAAATATTAGTCTGAAAAGTCTGACTTTTTGTCTTATCCAGCCTCTTGATCAAAATCGAATTTAGTTCTGGACTTTGACTAGACCATTCAAAAACATCGATATTATTTTGGTTTAATCCATTCCATAGTTGTATATTTAGGGTCAGACCTAGTGGAAGGTGAACTTTCACCTTTGCAGGTTTAAACAGGTTTTCTTCCATTTTCTTTCCAATATTTACCTTCATCTATCTATCAACTCTGTCCAGCTTCCCTGTCCTTGGCAAACAACCTCAAATATGGTGTTGCCACTACCATATTTCACCCTGGTGATGGTATGTTCACAGTGATTAGTTTCCCCATCTGTCAATGGTTTTGATTTTAGCATTTCTGACCAAAGCTTCTTGCCTCATATGTTTTCTGTATCCCGTAGATGGTTTGTTACAAAACTGCAAGCATGTCAACAGAATAGCTAAGAGAAGTACTACAAATGCAAACTGTTTACTAATTTGGTGTTTTCTGAAGGTAATCTGTTGTAGATTTTATTCAGAGGTATCAGCACAAGGAATACATAGCATACGTAGAAGACATTTTTATTATCTTCTAGGAATGCCCCGTCTATTTTTTTCATTAAATCGAATGAACATCCTCCTGAAAAAGGTACCCCACAGCACCATGCTGCCTCCATCGTGTTTAGCTGAAGGGATTGTGGGTTTACAGTGATGTGATGTGTTTTATTTTCCTTTCATGTTGCCCAAAAGTTTTTGAACAAGTGTAATTTTATTACATTCCAGTGAAAAAATATTAAAAATTTGTGTGTGTAATGTGACCAAATGTGAAGAAGATATTTTTAGCTTTTCAGATATCAGAGCTCATCACCTAAAAACTATAAATATGTAAGTGGAATTCCATTTTTACTGTTTCGTATTCATAGGTTGGTCAACTTTCATCAAAATCTTGGACTAGAAGAAATTATGTAATAATCTAAAATCTGTGCTTCATACAGGTATTATTATTAGCTGTTAAAGCAGTTTTAAGAACCAGGTGTATTATAGGATCTGTGCAGTTTTACACACAGACGCTCTGGCGATTAGGTGAGTGTTGTGCAAAGGAGAGAAAAAAAGTAAACAGTCTAATAGGAATGAGCACCATTCCACGTATACCTCACACCAAAGCCCTGGGAACTCCAGCTTATGTCTGACACATTCCAAAGTGAGGAAATTTCTCAGGCTGTTAAATATTCTCTTTATTGCCAACTCTAATACCTCATTTCCATTTTTCTGGCCCTAATATTTTTCATCCACTGCAGCTCACCTCTGTTTCCCCCTACTCTATTTCTTTTGAGTACCTCTGTGTTATGATCTAATTCCCTTGTTCATCCATATTGGTATTTCCTGTATAAACTATGGCCCATTGATTGTTCCATAAATCAGTAGCAGAAGCTCGGTGAGAAGCCGACTCTCCGGAGAGGGGCCGTTTGGATCCGTGCCCGTTCCCGGCCAGAGGTCGCAGAGTGTAGGCGTTATACCCTTCTGAAATCAACAGGTGTTTATGCTGCGCTGTGACACTGAGCAGAGCCGCAGCGCAAGTCCTGAATCAAATCCATTTCACGGGTCCCGCAAAGTGCTTCTGACAATCAAAATACACAACTCGGGGTTTATCCACTGGTCAGAGGTAGTCGGAGCTCCCAAAACAAACAGAGGTCTAAGGAGTGGGATCTGAGATGGCCTGGTGCCCAGGACACATCATACTGTACTGGGCCATATACTTTAGGTGATAATAGAAGAAGTGAACCTGATTTACCGCTGGCAACACTTTTACCCAGCATATAGTCCAAGGAAGATATTACTCAGATCATCAGATGATGCCAAAAACACATTAATTAAAACTTTTCTTTCCCCTTCCCATTATGTAATTTCACGGGGAGCTTGTCACGCAGCACAACATAATGTCTGTCACCTTGATAATTTTACAGTGTAGTTCATTTTCTAGCTGGATATAATGACTTTTACATGCAGCGCTTTTGGATGGTGGGAGTGTTTGGGAAAGCGGTCAAGTTTTACTTTTTTCTTCTCTCTTTTTTTTTCTTTAAAACAAATTCAAGCACAGTTGAGAAGTTAAACAGAATCCTTTCTCCCAGACTTTAATGCACCACTTGCTCCAGACACTACTACCAATGGAAATCAGCGCATTCTGCCATCTATGAGTACACAGAAGAAGCAGAATTCAGACATGGCAGGAGTTCAGAGCTGCTGTCAGAAGACCAGTGTGCACAGCTGAAGGAAAGGAGAGAGCCAAGCTAAAGCATGACCTACGGCAGGATACCGACTCCACCATGCCTTGCAAATTGGATCATGCAGCTTCAGTGAAATTTCAAGCCAATCACTGACTCAGTGCTGGGGCCGGTAAAAAAAAAAAAGAGGACTTGCGCTGAGGACAGCAGGGGTATCTGATATATGGGATAGTAAAAAGATGATGTCATCTGAACAAACAGAGACAGAGGTCTTTGGCCTTCTCCCAGGGAAACAGCATCTCTCCAACCAACTCCCACAGGTTCACAATTTTGCTTCCTCATGTTTAATCAAGTAGGGGGAAAAAAAGTTGTTCTTCCTGTGCGCGGAGGGCCGACACATTATCTCATCCGCAGCAGTCGGTAACTGATGAATGAAGTGGAGAAATAAGAACCTCTCCGTGATGAAAAGTTTGATTGCTTTATATTAAAACCTCAATTTATTTGTGAGACAAAAATCAAACCTTTCCCACAGAATGTAATGCAAACAAATACAAAATCCAGATGAAGGAATTCAAATGGATTAAAGAGCTCAAAGTTAAACTAATACATTTCCAAAGAAATCACTGCTATGCTTTATGAGAGCTAGACACCACAGCAGCTGGCTAGCACCTGCAGACTTATGATTACTATTTCTTTTGTTTATCTCCCCAAAGCTCTGGAGAGGCTGACATCACTGAATATCCTCCGGGCAAAAGGGCAATGAGAGTTGACTCCAGGTAGCGTACGTCAGGAAGCGCCGCAGCAAATGAGCATTAGGTTGTGAGGTGTGGCTGGTATCATTGGGGTGTCTCCAACTTAGGTTCAGTGAACTAATAAAAGAGCTGAAAATAAATGTTCAGGCACTGGCTGTATACAGAGCCATGCAAAAGTATTCAGATCTCTTTATTTTATTGGGTTATAATCATACTCGTGCTCTTTCTTCCTATAAGAGGGAGGAAAGAGGATACACTACTTTCAGCAGTCTTTCTCAAGAACGCCAAAAAAATTGTTTTTCATATAATCTGGCTTGATGGTTTTTTATACGATCTGGCTGAA